CAGCCGCCCCGCCCCGCCCCGCCCCGCCCGCAGACCCTGTTCCTCCAGGACAACAGCATCGCGCGCCTGGAGCCCGGCGCGCTGGCGCCGCTCTCCGCCCTGCGCCATCTCTACTTGCACAACAACAGCCTGCGCGCTCTGGAGCCCGGCGCCTTCCGCGCGCAGCCGCGGCTGCGGGAGCTGGCGCTCACCGGGAACCGGCTCCGCGGCTTGCGAGGCGGCGCGTTTGCGGGCCTGGCCCAACTGCGAGTCCTCTACCTAGCGGGCAACCAGCTGGCGAGGCTGCTGGACTTCACCTTTTTGCACCTGCCGGTGAGCGTGTACGACCCAAACCCCAGGGTCTTCCTATGCCCACAACCACCCTGCGGGTTGGAGGACGTAGAGGGAGAGAAGCCAGCCCTGCCCAGTTCCTCGGGACCCTTTGCTGATAATCCACTGTCTCGACTTCAGCGACTACAGGAGCTGCATCTGCAGGAAAACAGCATTGAACAGCTGGAGAACCAGGCCCTGGCTGGACTCTCTTCTCTTGCCTTGCTAGACCTCAGCAGGAATCAGCTGGGCACCATCAGCAGAGAGGCCCTACAGCCCTTGGCCAGCCTACAAGTTCTGCGCCTTACAGGTAACTCTTACTTTTTTTGTCAGTCGTTGGGCTTGAACTGGGCCTGGGCACTGTCACCTTCAGCTCAAGTCGAGCACTCTACCCCTTCAGCTACATCACCACTTCCGGTTTTCTGGTCCTTTATTAGAGATGTGTCTCAAGGACTTTCCTGCTGGGGCTGGCTTTGAACCACAGTCCCCAGATCTCAGCCTCCCCAGTAGCTAGGATTACAGATGTGAGCCACCAGTGCCCAGCAACTCCTCCTCAAGCAAGGAGCCTGGCTTCATCCAGGTCTGGGTCCAGGGGGTGCTCCTACAGCAGATTCTTCAGTTAACCCTTTGAAAGGTCATAGCAAAGACTTGCAAACTTGGTGTTGGATGGGCACAAATGGGCATGTAGGTAACAGCTCCACTGAGGGGTGACAAAACTGAAGTTCTTGCATTAGGGGGCCATCAGAGGCAGGCAAACTGGAGATGGCCAGGACTGGGAGCACTTTCCTTAGGGGGCACATAAAGACAAGGTCTCAGGGCTGCTGGAATGTGTGTGTCACCTAGATTCACCCAGTGGGGATTGTCGAGGGGAAGAGGGTGGTTGGTGCAGGTGCTTTCTTGAGGACAGGCCTCAGGAAGTGACAGGTGTGTGTGAGAGGAGGGAGGGTTATGTCCTACCCCAATGGGGTCAGAGAAGAAGTAGGAGGCCTAGACTTTGTGGAAAATGGCCGTGAGACCCGGCTAGCAGAGCCTCAGCTGCGCGGGCTGCTCTGCCCACAGAGAACCCATGGCGCTGTGACTGCGCCCTCCACTGGCTGGGCACTTGGATCAAGGAGGAAGGCCAGCGTCTGCTCAGCGCCAGAGACAAGAAGATCACGTGTGCGGAGCCCCCGCGCCTGGCGGCGCAGAGTCTGCTGGACGTGTCCGGGAGCAGCCTCATCTGCATCCCACCCACCGTGCACATAGAGCCGCTGGAGCTCACGGCCGGCCTGGGGGAGGACCTGCGCGTGGCCTGCCAGGCGTCCGGCTACCCGCAGCCGCTAGTGACCTGGAGGAAGGTGTCGCGGGCGCGCGAGGGCGGGCCGCAGGCCCGGGCCCAGCTCGAGGGCGGGCCGGCGGGCCCGGGCGCGCCCGCGGCGCGGGACACGGGCAGCGGCATGCTCTTCCTCACCAACATCACGCTGGAGCACGCGGGCAGGTACGAGTGCGAGGCCGCGAACGCGGGCGGCGCGGCGCGCTCGCCCTTCCAGCTCCGGGTCAACGCGTCCGGGCAGCGGCCGCAGCCGCCGCGGGCCTCGCCGGGCCCCGCCGCGCGCGCTCCGGGCCGCGCCCCGCGGCTCGACGCGGGCAGCATGGCCTTCCGCGCGCTGGGCCTGGCCACGCAGACGGCCATCGCGGCGGCCATCGCGCTGCTGGCGCTCACCGCGCTGCTCCTGGCCGCCATGATCTGCCGCCGCCGGCGCCGGCGCCGCAAAAAGGCGGCGCCGCCGGGCGAGGGCGCGCTGTTCGTCCGCGACTACTCGGACGGGCCCTGCTCGTCGGCGCAGCTGGAGGAGCTCCGCGGCGAGCGCGGCCACGAGATGTTCGTCATCGACCGCTCCAAGCTGCTCTTCGCCCCGGGGGCCGGCGGAGGCGCCCGCGGACCTCGGCCCGGCTCAGGGCCCTGCGCCCGGACTCCGCCTCCCGCCGCGCGTCGCCTACGAGATCCACTGCTGAGCCGCGCCGCCCTTCACCCCAGTAAAGGCGGAAGGTGCCCTGAGCGTGTGCGCGCGCCTCATTCGGGGGCCGGGGGCGGGGGGCGGGGGCGGGCCGCCTGCCCGGGACGAGGAAAGTCACCGAGACCAGCTAGAGGGGAAAGAAAAATGCCAGAGATTGAAGTTCCAAACGCGCTGAACATTTGTACCTTGACCTTCTAGCCCCAAAGCCAGCAATAGGATGGCTTGGGTTGCCAGCTCAAGGAACACAGTGCAAGGCCCCAGACTTCAGGCAGTCTTAGGGCTATCCCAGCACCAACCCCAGAGTTCTTTAAAAGTGCCCAGAGACCACTGCCTGTCCACTCGCAGCTGGGATCCCACACATCTGCAGAGAGGCCCAGGACACCCCAGCGCAGCCAAATGCAGCCATTCAAGGCAGGGGAGCGCAGGCCTAAATTCCAGCCAGTAGGAACAGTCGACCAGCTAAGAAGCGGGTGCAGGACACTGCAAGGAGAGCAGGCTTAACGTTCTGACCGTAAAGTAAAGCGGACCCTGAAGGAAACCGGAGACAAGTGCCTTTGAATCAGGCCTCCCACAGAATCCTAGCAAACAAAGGCTCTTGGCCTGTCTCACCCAGAACTTGGAGATCACAGGCTGAAATAATCTGCATCCAGGTGCCCATAGATGTCTGTGGTCCAGAGTACATGGGCACGGCCTGAGGCCAGCAGTAGCTGCTGCAATTCGGCCTCAACACGGGCAAACTTCTCCTCATTGATGGAGGCCTCGAGCAGGACAGACGCAGGTGGTGGCCAAGGCAGGCCATCATAGCAGTCCACAGGGAAGGGGTGCACCACAGTATGCAGCCCAGCCTGCACTACGAGTCCCGCAGCAGATCCTGGAGGCCTGCCATGGATAGTGGGTTTCCATAGAGACCAAGGTAGTGGGCAACGTGGCCAGCAGCTGGGCATCAGCAAACTGGCATTCAGTCAGCTCAAGATGCAGCAAGGTGGCTGCTGCTGCCTGCAACAAACCCTGAAAGAGCACCAGCTGGCTGCCTGACAGGTCATTGCCACTGAGGTCCAGCTTCTTCAGGTGGGTAGCAAGGGGAACTCTGTGCTAGGAAGTGCAGGTCTTCAGGCAGCAAAGCACAGAAGGCCAGCTCCAAGCTTTCCAAGGGGCTCTGTAGTGTACTGCAAAAACAGAGGACAGAGAGTCAGATAGGGATGCCCAGGAAAGGATCCTCACAGAGGGGAGGGGCAAAGCAATGGTAAAGCCCACACACCTGAGCAACTGGTCTAGTCTGCCTGAAAGGAGAGAGGAGCCAATGCTGAGCTCCCGCAAAGAGGTAAAGCAGCCCATCTGAGCCAGGAAATAGCGGAAGTTGTCTTCGCCATCCACAGAGGGCTGTCTTGAGTCAACATGTACATAATGCAATCTAAGGCTAGCCAGTTGCTGGAAGCGAGCCACATGTGGGATGATGACAGGCCACGCAGGCCCAGATTGCTGAAGCGCATGTCTACACGGCGCAGGCAGCCTGCGTCCAGAGCTGCAGCAGGGCTACCGTGTTGCGCATGGGCAGGTCCTCAGCCCGGAGGTCCCGGCAGCAGAGCCACAGCACGCTTCCCACACTGCTCTGCAGGGCCTCATGCAGAAATGTGTAGAAGGCCCGGTTCACACGAAGGTCCACACGAACCTGCACAGGGACAGGAACTAGCCCTGGCTTGGAAGGCCCACCCTGGTGCAGGGCGATACACGTGCGGGCCACGGCTGCTGTGCAGTCCCACACGCTCATAGTACCAGTGTCTTGTTCCATACCATCATCCAGGAGGCCAGTCATATCCAGAACCCGCAAGACATGCTTCCTGGGAGCAGGAATAGCCTAAGACGAGGGGCAAGGGGGCAGGGCCCACATCCCTCCCTGCCATTTTAAGAGCAACAGCCCTGTTCCCACACGGAACTCTAGCTAACCTCAGGACCACAGCCTCGAACCTCTTCAGGGAAGCCTTATTAGTCCCCTAGGTCTACCTATGGGCCCCTCAGGTAAGTCCATACCTGCAGAGGGGTTGTGTGCCAGCCCCAGCTTCTGGAGTGTGGAGACGGGCAGTCAGCCCCAGGATCACAGCCTGTATGCTCTCTGTGCTAGGCCGTTCCTGCAGCAGGGCACGGCTACAGTGGGTACACTCCTGCAGCAGCTGCTGGAAGCTAAGTAGTGGGAAGGGCCATGTGTGCACCAGCTCACGCAGCACAATTGTCCTCTTGTCCATGAAGGCCACCTTAAACAACAGGGGGAAAAGCTCTCTGGGAAGCAGGGGCAGAGCCTGGCAGGCAGCTGGCTGGCATTGAAGCACCTGCCGTGTACACAGGAGTACAAGTGTGTGCAGGGCGCTGCGCAGGGCGCTGCGCAGGGCGGGCCGTCACCTGCAGGAAAGGAACTTTCAGTTCAGAAGACAAACCCTAGGCCTCCATCAGACCATACCCTCTCCATGTATCAGTGGTGGGGAAGCCCACACAGTGCCTGGAGTTGGCAATGAATAGAAGATAGTGACACAAAGGAGCTTAGCTCGAATGGCAGAGCTGTTTGCCTACCAACCATGAGACCCGTTCAGTCCTTGGAACCAAAAACCAAACAAAAAAACACATGTTAAAGTCCTAACAACTTTGGCTGGGCAGTTTTACAGGAGACAAAGCCATGCTTAGGAAACGTGTTGCTAGAGAAAGCAAGCAGTACGTGACAGTACATCAATAATATGCCAGCCTATGTGTGACTCAGACAAATGGCTTTGATGCTCTATGGAATCCAAATTGAATCTCCAGGCCTCCAAAATCACAAATATGCTTCAGAAATCCTTCCTCAAAAGTAGAATAAGGGGAGGCCGGGCGCTGGTGGCTCATGCCTGTAATCCTAGCTACTCAGGAGGCTGAGATCTGAGGATCTCGGTTCAAAGCCAGCCCGGGCAGGAGAGACCGTGAGACTCCTATTTCCAATAAACCACCAGAAAACCGGAAGTGGCGCTGTACCACAAGTGGTAGAGCGCTCGCCTTGAGCTGAAGAGCTGAGGGACAGCGCTCAGGCCCAGAGTTCAAGCCCCATGACCGACCAAAAAAAAAAAAAAAAAGTAGAATAAGGGGCTGGGAAGGTGACTCAGTGCTAGAGTGCTTGCCTCCCATGCATGAGGCCCTGGGTTTGATTCCTCAGCACCACATAACCAGAAAAAGCCAGTAGTGCTGTGGTTCAAGTGGTAGACAATTAGCTTTGAGCTGAAGAGCTGAGGGACAGTGCCCAGGCCCAGATTTTAGGCCCCATGACCGGCAAAAAAAAAAAAAAAAAGCCAGGTGTCGGTGGCTCATGCCCATAATCCTAGCTATTCAGAAGGCTGAGATCTAAGGGTCATAGTTTGAAGCCATCCTGGGCAGGAAAGTCTGTGAGACTCTTATCCCCAAACTACCAAAAAAAAACGAAATGGACCTGTGGCTCAAGTGGTTGAGCACTAGCCTTGAGGAAAAAAGCTCAGGAACATTGACCAGGCCCTGAGTTCAAGACCCAGGACCAGCACTAAATAAGTAAATAAATACCACACCACTTTTCCCACAGTCTCTCATCAGCACTACAACAGGTAGAAAACCCCCAAGCAAGGTCAGCAGCCATGCTAGGAATCCCTTTCTAACTCTTCTCACAGATCCGCTCCAGAGCTACCCTTAAACTTTATCAAACACACATGGCTTAGTAAGCACCAGGACCAACAGGAACAATGACCACAGAACCCTGAGTCTATGAACCTAGCCTATGAAATCTAGTCTACCTCCAGAGATATTTTCACTTGGCACAAAAACTCAAAAATAAAAAAGCGCTTCTGTGGTCCTTGCCACCTACCTCTTCCCTGAGAAACCAATGTGGACAGAGACCATCAAGGCGATTCATTCAGAAGGGCCCTGGCCTTGTCAGTCAGTTTCAGACAAGACAGAGGTAACTACCAAAGTAGTCATCTAAGATGCGGGTCGGCCTTGCTGCTTTCTGGGCCTCGCCCTCAGCACTGCACCTGCAACCACCTCTGACAGACTGGTAAACTAAGTCCTAAGTCACTGTAGGGGAAACGGGTGAGGAGCAGCCCGGCTGCGGGGGCCCGAGGCCGGCTTCCCGGGACCTCAGGCAAGTCACCCAGCGGCGCCTTCCCGGGACGGCCCGGCCCCGCCCGGTCCCGTGCAGACAGATCCCGCGGGGCGAGGACGACGCGCTCCTCATCAGCTGGGCACTGCCGGGAGAGGAAACGGGAGCAGCGGCCTGGCCGCGGGGGGGAGCTCCGCTGGGCGACGCCGCGACCCGCACAACCCGCCGGGCCAGGC